GTTCATGGGGTCACGAAGAGTCGGACACGACTTAACGACTAAACAACAACAACAACAAAGTCTTCGCTATAAAGCTGAGAAAACAAAGAACCAACAAAACAAAACCACAGAGGGAAGAAATTTGGTACTAAACAATATACTAGGAAGTTGTCAATTTACAGGTAGTCCTTGCTTAATGAACCTAATTGGGACCAGCAACTCCATTGCTAAGCAAAGCAGTCATTAAGTGAAACATGTGACCACACCAACTTATGACATCAGTTCCAGCAGTCCTGGTTGCAGTTGTTAAACAAATTACCCAAGGTTGTTAAGCGAGATATCACATGACTGCGACTTGCAACCTCCTGCCAGCTTCCCCATTGACTTTGCTTGTTGGAAGCTAGCCAGGGAGGTCACAAATGGCAATCACGTGACTGTGGGATGCTCAACCATCGTAAATGTACAAAGGTTGCCAAGCACCCGAATCGCAATCACATGACCGTGGGGATGCTGCAAGAGTTGTAAGTGTGAGGACCAGTCATAAGTAACTTTTTTCAGTGCCATTGTAACTTCAAACAGTTGTTAAATCAATGGTTGTTAAGCAAGGAGTATGTGTATGGCAAAATAAAGTTTTACTGTAATCTCACAATTATGAGGAAATAAATATTAATAAAATGTGAAGCATATTGCAAAAGACAAATATTCAAATAATACATGCAGCAACTAATAAGCTCTATCAAGGCTTATAATCTAAGAAGTATACAGTATAGGTCTACTGGCAAGTCCTAAGGACTTATATATATCTGTGACCTTTAATTAAATTAGGACTCAATTGTGGAGGCACTACCTGGGTAGCCAATTTAAATGTTGAATTGTTTTTAACTTTATTACAGTGATTTGATGTTTCATAGTTTTAATCTTCATTGTTGTGTTTTAAAAAGCTAATTCTAAAAGAGCTTAAATAACTGATAAGCTCTCTTTTAGAATTAGCTTTTTAAAATACAACAATGAAGATTAAAACTATGAAACATTAAACAACCAACTGTGATAAACTCTGGCTATAGCACAAACTAATTCTAATGTTTTATTGATGGATAATCCAAAACGTATCAAAGAGTCAAATCTTTTAACTCGTTTTTAAAATACATATATTTATTTACAAGTGAAATGATACTTTTTTTATATTTTTTTTTAATATATTTTTTTTAA